TACGAGGCTGAGTCACTTCTCATTCTGCTTCTCATTCTAATTGTCCCGTTCCACCTTAAACGTTGCATGAGGCGCCAGACTGTACTGCTGTGCCATTTAAGGTGGAACAGGAGAATTCGAACAAGAAGCCAGAGCATGAGAAGCTGACTTCAGCTTCACAACTTGTTGCAGAGTGCTTATCTTATGAGTGCTTAGAAATGCAAATGAGTCCATTCATCTCCAGATTATCGATGTTCATCTTAAATCTGTTGTTTTTCGTGTTTTATGTGGATTGGCAGTTTGGGGATGATTAGGTAGTGATAACATGTTTATGACTAATTTTAGCTGCACTATTTCATTACACTCTAATGCGGAGGCTTTAATGTGCTGCGTTCTGGTCTTTTAAACAGGGTGTAAACTCGATTGCAAGTATAAAAATACCTGTGTTTTTGTAAGATGTGTGACTTGATCATTAGCCAAAGTCAGATTTGAAAGCATCTTAACTCCTAATTCCACTGGAGTGAAAAGCAGCTTAGCTGCTTGATCAATGCTGTGTAGTCCTTTCAGAGACAGTGGCAACCTAAACAACCTCACAGCAGCAAGTAGTCAGCTTACTTTCACTTTTTAAGCTTTTATTTTCTAGCGGAAACCAGACTTCAAATCTGGGTGAAACATTGCATTAAAGAGCTGTGACAGCAGGCAAGTCAAAGCCTATTGTAGTTGCAACATAGCAGCGTCATTGCTTCTCTGCTTCAGCTCTGCAGCACGCTCAATATTTTGTGCAACATGCATGATGTAGTGTTCTCTTGTATGTTGCGTAGTGTATGCCAGGCTTCTGTTGCTTGTGTTTCATCCAGATTGGTCATTTCCTCTTCTCTTAGAATTTGTCAATTTTACAAAGAGCTCTAAGCGAAATACTGATGAATTCAAGGTGCGCAATCAGTGCAAACAGTTTCAGAGGAAACAAACTACAAGGACTGGATAATAAACAGTTCACAAAAATTCACAAACATTCAGGCCTGTTTGGGAAATTACCATAAAGCATTATCATGCTGGCCATCAATTCTGCATTAGTGATGTTAAAGTAACCAGATTCCTATTTCGGTAGGAATAGTTCCACATGAGGAAATGGGGCAATAAAAGCTTAAAAAATGAAAGTAAGCTGACTACTTGCTGCTGTGAGGTTACCGCTCTCTCTGAAATGACTACATAGCACTGATCAAGCAGCTAAGCTGAGTTTTCCAAGCTTTTCACTCCAGTTGAATTAGAGATTAAGATGCTTTCAAATCTGACTTTGGCTAATGATCAAGTCGCACATCTTACAAAAAAACACTTAGGGTCAGTTAGGGAGAATTTCGCATGATTTCTGAGATATCTAGAGACCTTGCAAAGCAGAGGATTGCCCAATAATTTTGCCTAATACAAACTTAGGCAAAGCCAGGTGTGGTCTTGTATGACTGGAAATAACTGCCTGGGGTTGTTGCTCAGTTTGCAGCATCAGTGAAGATACTGGCGCATTTTACCTTCTATAAAATTGGAAGTAGAAATAATTCCTGGTTACTAATCCCATGCGAATTGACCTGTCCATAAAAAGGCTAATGGCTATTGTTGAAAAGGAGTTTCTTAAGTACAGAGGCACACGAAGATGTGTTTGCTTGTGTTCTCTGTAGCTTCAAATCAAGCAGATATGCACTGTCCTATCTAAAGCAAATAATGGCTAAATGAAATGTTTGATTCTATTCTGGATTAAAGGCGTGGCCTAAATCAAGTAGCCATTCCAGTCTTTGCCATCTATACTGAGAGTTCTTATTCTGTGTGACCCGGTCATAAACATTAAAGTCAGCCTGTGGTACACTTGCATTACCCCACCTCCCCTTGGAAAACGAATCCTGTCCGGATAGAAATTTAACAGTTTAACAAGAAATTTAACAGACGATTTAACATACAAAACCACACAAGAACAAAGAAAGGACTAGAGTGGGAATGCAGAGGACAAAGAAAGAATGAAAATGGTGTACACTGATTGTTTCAGACTGTTCTTTGCACAGTTATACAGAGTGTCAGCTCAGCAGATTTAGTGACATAGTTATATAAAATGTGAGTTAGTGTTACAGACATAAAAGCCTGGATGACCAAGAATTCCTGCTAAACAGAAGTTTAGTACTGCTGCAGGGCCCTAAATCTGCTCAATATAAGGTTGCGGTTTTATCCTTGACCTTCATGATTTTTCTGTGCAACTAAAAGCACAAAATCCCAGAATCAGAATTTATTATTAAAATTAGAGATTAGTTGATAGTTTCATAATGCTAGATTAATCTACTGCAATGTGGTACTGATTTGTTGCCTTGCCGTCTCTTGATTATGAGATACTTCTTCTTGCATTGTTTGCTGATCTTTGATTGTCCAGTCTGCAAACTCACAGCTTCACTTGTAGCTCAGCTGGTGGAAGATTTTTTTCATATTAAGCTCAGAAACTCTGGAATAGCATTCCAGAGAATGTTAGGAATTCAGGTTGGATAGGTATTTTTAAACCCAGATTCTAAACATTTGTTTAGGCTAGTTTATGCTTCTTTTTCTTCTGTTGTTTTTTCTTTTGTTTTTTTTATTTTATTTAGACTGAAGTATTTTATCTTTCCAATCTTCGTGCACATGTTTCCTTCTCTTTTCTTTTCTTTTTTTTTCTTCTAGTTTAATTTTAATCTAAAAGAACATTAGGTCATCGATGGAGGCTGCAGGACTGCTGATATGGCAGTTTTAGGGTGTTTATTGGTAACTATGATGAAAAACATCAAGCGCTGGATTCTCAAACTCAGTCATAACCCACTATGATCATTGTATCTTATGTATATTATGTGTAGCATGTGGTCATATCTGTGGGCATGTAGAAAATTTAGGACCACCTCAGAGCAGTGGCAGCAGGATAAGAAAGAGCAGCGTGAAGTTAACTCTGACTTATTGCAAAGTGCACTGAAATCAGTTGAAAGCTCCCAAAACTTAATGAAGCTTAAGATTGAATTTGCCTAATAGCAGAAAAAAATAGGAGGAAGCACAAATAATTATATCACTTTTTAATGAGCACAGCTAAAAAGCCCCTTACAAAAGTGCGTAAAATAGCAAGTAATAAATAGATATTAAATAATAACATAATACTGTTATTATCTTTGATTTTGCGTGTAAGCCGCAAAACTAACGTTGCTCTCAACTGGGGGAGTGCACGTTTTTTTTTTTCTTTTTTTTCTTTTTCTCTCTTCGTCTTCCTCTCCCTTTTCACCCAACCAGATCGCAGTACAGTACAGGTGCAAAGGACCAATGTGAACGTCACGAATGCTTGGCTGTGCTCTTCTGTCCACCAATCAAGATGGCTGCTATCTGCCGAGGGGCGGGTCTTGGCAGACAAAAGGACTCACCTGAGAGGAGTCATGTGTGGGAGCATTTAGTGGGCATGAGACTTGTGGTGTCGGCTATAATGGCAAGCTGTGCTACTTCAGCAGTGAAAATGTAGCCAGTAATGATGGTCTCCTGTGCTCCCTCTCTAGCTCTCTTTCTCTCAGTATTCTCTTCCTCAGCGTGATGCGTGGACAGGCAAGTTGGGCGCGCCTACACATACACAGTAGTTGTTGGATTGTTTAGGCACATCAGGTAAGGGGCGAGTGCAACCTGCTGTATTTTGGTGAGGATTAGACTTGGCTAGGCAGATTAGATTTTGGTTTGTTTGTTTCATTTCTTTGGCACCCTCCTCCGTCCACCTTTGCAGTTTGTTGGGTCCTATTAGTCAATGTTCTTGCATAACCAGTGGTCAGTCAACTCCTTTTCTTTTAACCAATACTCAGTCTCAGCTCAGTTTATTGTATCATGCCTCTTTCTTTGTTTATTCTTGTGTCATACACTTTTACAAGTGGGAAGAAAAGTAAAGCTTTGACTGAAGTACTTGTGCCCTTCCCTTCCGTCTCCCATCATATGCCATGTTATTTCCTCTCCACCCATAGCTACATCTGAGGGGAACGTAACAACTATATAATATTATATATAATAATATAATGTAACATTGTGTGTCCATATATGTGTGTATATATATATATAATATATATATATATATATATATATCGCTGCTGTCAGGACAAAACCTCGCATCTCCATTTTTGTCTGTTACATGGTATGTAAATTTCAATTCCAAAAGAAATGGTTTAAAATGACTTGGGGGAAAAAGTCTGGTTCCACTGACTTACACTAAAAGTCAAGTATGTTGTTTTCCTTCACCTGTAAAGTTACCACTTTGAAGATACAAGGTTTTGTTCTGACAAGTGGTGTCTGTATGTATAGTGGCATCAGCATACACAGCAGAGGCCTTGATTCCACCACAAGAAAGGCAGAATACAGGAGCATGAACCAATAGGGGAGGTCACCAATAGCCACAGTCTTCACCCTCATGGTAGACCACCACTGAAATTTTGAGTTAATCGAGCTAATAGTAATTTAACAGAACAAGAATCTGTGTTCTAAGTTGTGTTGATTTACTATTCAAAGTTTTAAGGCAGCCTGGTAACTAACCTCTTATGTTAAAACAGCATTTTATTTTTTTGTTGCAGTTACTAGTTACTTAGAAGCAGTAATATAGTTAACTTGTTATTTTGATTCAGGATTGGTGTGCATTCCTGTTGTACTCCTAAAGATCTCATTCATAGGAAAAATTATGTCTCTGACAAGATATCTGTGACACCACAGAGGCTGGAAATTGTTCCCCTGCGAGGTCTACAAACAGTGGAGTCTGGATTCCTCAGAATCAGACATAATACAACACTCAAATCTGTGAATTGCACTGCTACTTCACAGCCGACAGAAATTGTGTGCGAATTCAAGCTGCAAGTATAGATGTAGTGTGAGATAAAATCATGCATTGTAAATATCTGTGGCCAAGGCCTAAACAGGAAGTTAGTGGGGGTCACAGGAAATAAAATGAACCTTGTGGCAGAGGGCTCTTCAGACACAGCAAGATCTATCTTGCTTTAGCTTGGGTAGCTCGAACAGGATGTCGCTTCCATCACTTCGGTGTCAAACCTGAGTCAAAGTCTAAAAAGAAGAGACCATCACACACACTGCATTTCATCTGGAACTATGCCAACACCTGTAGCCCCTGACAGTAACAAGGGAAAGCGGAGGAGCGGAGAAGATTAAGAAGATACTACTTTTTTTGTAGGTGAGTTTTTCATGTTAACGCCTCGCATGGGATGGAAAGTGGACATCCTGTGACGCACAGCTCACCGCCAAATTTCCCAAATACACAAGAACGGAAAAGTAAATGTCAGATACTGTTGATTACTTTACAGAACACCTTGTTTGGAGCTTATGATTAACGTCTGTGCATGATTTCCTGTCATACTGCACAAGTCATCTACAGATCTTACGAGCTGCATCGTTACAGGGTCAGCTTCTGTGTGCATGATGCAGAAAGGCCAATAGCGTACCGGACAACTTGTCCTACGCTTTGAAATAGTTGTGGTTCAAAGGACATGAAAGTTCATGAGCAAAATCACAAAATTACTCTGAAAGCAGGTCTGCTTTGGAGACAGAAAAACCTGATTGGTTCTCCTAATATGCAAGGGGTTGGGGCTTACACTGCATTGGCCCTTTTGATTTGAATGCAATGCAAGTGTTTTAGTTATCTTATTTAGTTCTTCACTATGTGGTGTTGCTTTGTTATTAATGTGACAAAAGTACTTTTGTTTGTGTTCTACTGGTTATGGAAAATTAACTGGAAAACTGCAGTTTTCCTCTGAATCCTTTTTCACGGTTCAGTTCTCTTAAAGCTATAATATGTAGGTTTTGGAAATTTAGAGACTTCACTGGTGGAAATATGTAATTGCATGCAATACGCTGAAGAATGTTTTTGTGCGTGCTTCGTGCTACTTCCCCAGGCAGAATAATCTGATGATTGCGAGCACATTGAAAGAGAATTCAGAGAGAACTGAGTCAAAACCTGGTGAAGGATTCCTGAGGATATAAGTGAATTATCTACTATTATCGTCTACTATTGTCATTATATCTTCATCAATATAATGTTAATTCTGCATTTGAGACCTAAACATCGAGCCAGACCTTCTTTTGGAATCTGTGTGTGATATTATTACCTAAAAACATATGATGCAGTCTGAAAAACTTAAAAACTGAAAAACTAGCGAAATCCAACACAAAATCTCTGACTATTGAATTATTATTTCTGGCTCTACTGGATGACTTGCAACAGCACATGGACGTCATATTTTAGCGTGTTTTTTCTCCTGTCATATTACTTCTTTCAATTTTACCAACATATTACATATTGTCATATGGAGAAGGATCTTTCACAAATCTTTTCAAACTCTCTCGTATAGATCTGGCAAAGGCCTTACAAAAGCATCCAGACGCCCCCTCTAATAAGTGACTTTAGCTTCTTTGAGGTGCACACATTGCTGACACAGCCATTCTATTTCACACACACTTGTATAATATCCAGAATAAAACATTGCTAATAGAAGAGAACGCTCTCTGAGCCAAGTGTTGGTTAGAGGGGTATAAAGCCCCCCAGCATTAAACTGTGGAGCAGTGTAATTGCATTTTCTGGAGTGATGGAGCACCACTGAATACCACTGGGATGTGCTGGAGTAGCATTTATGTTCCAGAACTAATCAAACATCAGCACCTGACGTGCCTAATACTCTGTGACTGAATTTACAATGAAATCCTCACAGCAGTGTTCCAGGAATGTTGGATGAGAGGTGTCTACAAACTTGTATATTGTGTATTTAGGGTTTGCCAGGTGGGATTGATAACATGTAAATGCTCATATGTAAGAAATTTATGGGTTTAATTCAGAGAATAAGCAGGAAGGACCTAAATGGAAGCAGGCCTCTGGAAACAGCTTGTTTTTTATCATGCATGTTTGATTAGTATGCATGTTCTATTGTATACTACTGTGTTTTCATATGAATCAATGAATCTAGAAAAACATAACTGGACAATGCTGTTCATATCGTCTGCAGCACCTTTTGAGTGCTGTTAATGCAACATAGTTTTTTAATTAAAGATTGATTTTTGACTGAAGTGTCACAGAGATTTGTGCTTAGAGCTAAACGCGTCTTTTCGAGAATCGCTGTCTCTTACTGAGTCACTGACTGCCTGAATGGCTGACTGGCACCCATTGTTGAAACACAATTTGTATGTAGTGCTCTCATTCAAGCATGTTGAGCTGTCCAGTGAAGTTGTGTTTGTGGCAATCTGAAAAGATGCAGTGCTGGCTTTGTGTGTATTGGAGGAAGCACATGCTGGCCTTTGTCTTTGCAGCTTGGCAGCATTGTGTGACCAGGGATTGGCAATTATTAAATGAAAACTGGATAGAAATAATAAAAAAGAAAGGTTGTGCCTAATAACGGGTTCAGTAGCACAACAGTGACTACTGAATATTTGTTAGAGCTTGGGCTGTGTCTGATGTCAGTTGGAAATTCTCACCTTGCAGTATAAGCAGTGTTATGTAGCAAGTTTTTACTCTTCCATATGTGATAATAAAGCTATTAAGTGCTGGTACACGACCACTAAGTGCACCAGAACTATAAAATGATCACTTTATAAAGAGCTCACCAGTGAAACGTTACCTAGTTCGGAGGCTTTAATGCTAGTGTTATTAGCATAGCAGCTAGAAAACAAATAGTTTTGAGCTAATGGTACGTTTGATTGACTTTAGACATGATTATGTGTAAATAAAGAATTACTGTACTTGGTTACATTTAAATCGTAGTGCTTTGAGTTTTTAACAAAGTACTTCTACTTTGCTTCTTTAATTTTTCATGTTACTGAGTAAAAATAAATTATGAGCATGTGTATCAGCTCATAGACCAATCAGAAGAAATTACAATTAAATTTATAAGATTTAAAGCCAGTCCAAACAGAGCAGCGCCCAGTCACAAAAACAATTTGGCACTGATGTGTTCAGGTAGAGTTAAGTGGAAAAAGGAGAGAGGAGCGTTAGCAGCACACACAAGGAACATGCTTTATCAAACGATCATCTTCATTCATGTTCATAAGAACTAAAAAAAACGGCCCTTTTATCAGGTGCTAAATCTGCCTCCCCAAACCTGCCGACATCTTGACTTTTCACAACTCCCCTTCAGCCTGAGGGAGCAGCGGCCTAGCAGAGCTAATCCGAGCTAAACAGGTACTGCATTTAATGTTTACTTGCTTTGCTCTTCTAGAATAAAATGGCGGATATATATTTAACTTGAATTACACCAGCTGTGTATTTGTGAGTGCCTGTGAGCCAGCTAGCCACTTTAGTTAGCAGAGGTGTCAACCCACATAGTTTACTCATATAAAATACAGTTTTGTCAGTTTTGGGCCTAATGATGTCTGTCTGCAGAGCCACAGTTACACGCCAGCAGTTTAACTCCAGCAGGTTCAAGCCAGTGGCATTCAGCGCATGCGCTGTCACGTGTTTTGGTTTTTCTTATTGAGTGTTAGGCTAATCGACATTTATATGAGTTTCCAATGAATTTGCGATAAATTTGTGTTGAGATAACTTTATATTTTAAGCTTCAGGCTAAGACCAGCTTTGGTATGAACACATACGGAGATTCACAGAGTACATATTACACGAACTCCGGCTTATGTGGCCTGAGTAAGCTAATGGGTTATGTAGCTAGACATATAGCTAGCTCAGTTAACTGACCTTTAATACGGGGGCTTTATGTGTAAACCTACATTTTATGTGCAGGAATAAAACTTTACCTTAAGTAGGCTTAAACTAAGCATAGCATTAAGCTTCAGGCTAAAACAAACTTTAGTGTTTGAATGTATCACGTCTGAAATAGCCCATCGAAAGCAAGTGTTTCCTTTGGTTTCTGATTGTGTAATGTGTTTCGGCTTATGCTTTACGGTTACCAATAGTTGATTTGTATATTGGCGACGGTCTCCCTTCCTGATTGGTAACATGCATGGCGACACATACAACCAGCACAAACAGTCGCTGATTGCATCAGAGACGTTATAAATGAGGAGACCAGCCACTGGTTTAAATATGACTGGGAAGTTCATAACGCTCAACTTTCCTGTAAGGACTTTGTTTACATGGCACAGTCACGCTGTCCTACTGCGCATGCGTTCCACTGGCCTGAAACTGCGGGAGTGAATCTGCGGCTCTTCATTCTGACCGTTCTCGTTTTGTGGATCACTGAGACTGTGATACGGGAAGTCTAGTCTGATGAAGGTTGTACATAAACTCGGGACAGTAATTCCGTCGCGCTCAGACTTGTTCCTCGCTTTCTGTTTTAAGATTTAATGAACAGTACCGGTAATGTGATCAGACTGCCGGAGGAGTAGAGCGTTCGTCTGTCGCTGTACGGAAACAGAAACCATATCACATAGATCAGGGACATCAGGGCATCTCCATAACAGAGGTTAAACAGAGGTGTGCTCTAATATTCAGATCATTCTTTGGTCTGACTGAAAAAAAGACTGCCAGGTTATGAATCCTGGACTGTCACTGAGTTAAAAACACTTTTGCAAAAATACATTTACTTCTCAATCTGACCTTACAGATAATACTGCATCATCAGAGACGCCATTCAGTCAGTTCATCGCTCTCTGCTCTCTCGCTCTCTCTCTCTCTCTCTCTCTCTCAAGTTCAAGTTCAGTGTAGCTTTATTGGCATGACTGTAAGCTGTAAGGTCCAGTATTGCCAAAGCATTATAACAGTGACAAAATGACAAGAACAACATGAATATATAATAATAATAATAATAATAATAATATATCAAATCATAACAATAATAACAACAACATTGTTGACTTCATTAAAAGAAAAAATCTATATAATTTACTGTATAATTAATAACGTGTAGTGTCCTGTGTTACGTGGGGTGGTGGGTCAGAAGAGTGGGGGTACCCTAATGACCCCCCCCCCTCAGTACTGCAGACAGTACTGGTGACTAGACGTTATATGAGTGTGTGCATGTAGCATAAACATCTTACAGTCTGTTATTATGCTAATAACACGGCAATCCTTGGTCTAAAAAGCGCAACCAGGTGTGAGAAGGGAGACCAGAGACTGAATAAATGAATGAATGAGGGTAAAAGGAGGAAATACCTGAACAAACTGCAGCTTTGTGGACATAGGCTGCAATACAAGAAACTGACTGTCCAGTCATTTGTCTTAAGAATGTCTTATAT